GGGTCCCCGGGGACGGAACCGGGCCTCCGGGGCAGAGCTGAGGCGTGAGGCGCGTCCTGCCGCTTTCGCAGCCCGAGGCCGTGCGCACTTCAACAGAATCCCCCAATATGGCAGAAGTGGTGCCTCGCAGGCGGGCTGGGAGTTACAAAATCCCCGCTGACTTTGACTGTCAGCTCCAGATCGCCTCTTTGGTTCTTTAGCCGGGGACGGGCGGTTGGACAAGCCGCCAGGTAACCTTCAGGGTTATCACCCTGACGAGCCATACTGAGGGGTTCGCAGATCCCCCGCCGCTGGTGAACGTGAGGGGAAGAAAGCAAGCTCTGGCCTGAAGGTTTTGACTCTGAGGAAGTTTCTGGCTTGTTGGTTTGTTTTTGGGGCTTTGTTCTCCTGGAGGTGTGAAAAATAGGTGCAAGTTATCTTTCTGGAAACCAACTTGCAAGTAAACAAGTTTTCTGATGGTTTTTCTTCTTTTTTGGCATACGAATCAATGATAGCAGTTGCGCTGATTGGAACCCAGGAAGTTAATGGCTGTGTATATATAGTTATGGCCTCATTTACCCTGGGGTAACTCTACAGACTCGGGTAATATTGGGTGAGGGATTACAGTTTGATCCTAAGCGCACACAAAATAATATCGCTGGCTTTTTTTAAGATACTGTGCTGTGGCGTTGCAATAATAGAGTAGAAGCTCTGCCTTGCAGCCTATGATTTCACTCTTCTTTTAACTAGGCACTTGGAAGATAGATAATGTCCTTTTGGTCTGAGCAGCTAATTAGGAGCTGGGGCTTTGCAGCTTGCTTCCAGCAGGATGAAATACGAGTTGGATATTCCTGCAGTTTGTGTACCTTGAGCACACCCCCACAGCGGGAGGTACTTTTCCCTCTCTCCAGTACAAGCCTGCAGTCCTCTCAGACACTCTCCCCCAGTGTTTTTCCAACTTTTCGACCCTCATTTTCTTCACAAACAAGCAGCTGCAAACCCAAGTGAAAAGCAAGCTGCTTCATTCGGAGCTGACTCCCAAGGAAGCACTTACATGCCCTGTTGATTTTTTTCCCAGGGCTTTCAGCTTGGGACAGTGGTTCCTGTTGCATGGAACAATTACTCCCTTTACTTTCCCATTTCGTGTCCATTGGATTTAGTGAGCTCTGTGTCCTCAGCTCCATGATCGTCCCTCTCCATAACCGGCATGTGGAGAGCTACTTTAGCAGCAGGGTACACATACCAGCAGCACGGCCATGTGATACTCCCGTGGTACTTTCATCTCTGCGGGTTCCCAAAGACTTGGCAGCCTGTGATTCCCTGCCCGTGCACAGCCTGCTTCTCTAAAAGCTCTTCCTCTGTGCTTCCTCTTCATGCAGCCTTGACACAACGAGATTCCTGGCAAGAACAGGGGGGCAGGTTGGATTTAGCGTACTCGGAAGGGGTAGCTGCTCAGTGGGAAATGGTGGGTGGTTTTTCCTCTCTTTGCTGCATCACAGAGTGGAACAGAACACTCCTGTCTCTGCGGACCTCCCAAAGGACTTCAAAACAGCCAGATGCTTTTCTCCCAGTCTGCTGGCTCCTGAGGTCTGTCTGTAATGGTGTGGGACAGTTCCTGTGGGCAGGAGCAAAGATGGTCTTGTGGTGAAGTCGTTTGGCAGAGGCAGCAGGTTCAGCTCCCAGCCCTGTTGCAGACTCCTTATGATCTTATCTGTGCAGGTCCAAGCTGTGCCTTCTCCCTCTCCCCGGAGCTCACAGCTGTGAGTGTGCATGCTTGGCATGCAAACAGTGCTGAAATTAATTCTACTGGGAGAAAAACAGAAGGTGCAAAGCTACATTTCTATTAACAACGTAATGTACTGTATTAGAAAATCAAGCAGCCAGCCGCTATGCTGAAAACACCTTTGCATTTCATCTCTAATCACTAACTCATCCTCCTTCCCAAAGGATCAAGTTCCCCACAGGGAGTCCTTTCTGAGAGATGTCACTTGTTTCATGGTGTAAGAAAATAACTAAATCCCTTCCAGAGAAGCATATTCTCTGACACTCAAGCCTGTGCGTTGCAATTTGTTGTTTTCACTATTCCAGAGGTGATTTTGTGCATTTGCTTCATTTCGTAACAGCCATGTCTCTAACTTGAAAACACCATCCTTCAGCAAAAGCCCGAGACGCCAGCAGTAAGTGTCTAAACCTTGCATAAAGCAATGCAGGACAAAGACAGAAATACCGCAGTCAAAGCACTTGACTGAAATCAGTGATTGGAACTGCTGCACACAGTGAGAAATGCTGCGGTGACAAACTGGACTCCTGTGCAGACCTCCTGCGTCATCTGCTCCTTCTGGGCCACTCTGTGGCAGACTCTGAACACAGCCTGGCTGCTACTGCAAACCACATTTGAAATAAAAGATTTTGCGAGAACGAACGAGACCCATCTTGTCCCTGACTTTGCCAGCCAGATCCTGTAGCTCGT